GAATAGCCCTCAACTTAGAGTTCACTTAGAGTTATCTGATTTCTATCTTTTATGTTTAGAGTAAGGTTATGAATTTTGGGGAAATTACCTTAGTGATTAGGTGCCCTTTTTATTGTATCATATCAAGGAGTACATGATATCAGAAGCACCACGATATCTGGTGGCTCACAGAGTCAGCCCTGTTCATGTGGTTGTTCGGCAGATTTCTCTACTGTGAAGTTACTATTTTCCCTTATCCTTACTTTGTTCTTTGGAAGCAAGTCTATAAACCTTGATCACCCTCAAAGGGAGGAAAATCAAATTCCATATCCTGAAGGGGGAGTATCTACATATATTATCTGGGTTCTTCTGTGAGGAAGATTTGTCATTTCCCCCTCATTTATTTACTTGTTTATTTATTTAAATCAGTATGACTTCATAGATTTTTTTTTTCCCCTTCACTTATAATCCAAACTGTTATTTATTTTGTTGTTCAGATTTCCACTGGATCTTTTTAAGGCTGGTTCCTGTCCTGATGCTCCATATGTTCTTATTTTTTAAACTTCCTTATTTTCTAAGGTTAAAAGGCACTCCAAGTGCATCTTGTATTTTCCCTTCCGGGCTCTAGAATTAGCTGTTTCTTCAAAGAGCTCCTAGTTCCTATGTTTGTCTTTTTTTTTTTTTTTAAACTATCTTAACCATTTTTAAGCATAGAGTTCAGTAGTGTTAAGTATTATGATGAACTGAATATTTGTGTTTTCCCCAAATTCATATGTTGAAGCTCTAATCTCCAGTGTGACTGTATCTGGTAATGGAGCCTTTAAGAAAGTAAAGTTAATTGAGGTCAAAAGGGCGGGGGCCCTGATAGACAGAAGCCAGTTCTCTCTCTCTCTCTGTCTCTCCCCCTCCTCCACCCACCACACACACACACACACACACACACACACACACACACACACACTGAGGAAAGGCCATTTGAGGATAGGTTTCCAGCAGATATCAACCCTGCTGGCAACTTGATCTTGAACTTCTAGTCTCCTGAACTGTGAGAAAATAAATAACTTGCTGTTGTTTAAGTCACCCAGTCTATGATGTTTTGTTATGGCAAGGGAAGCAAACTAATACAAGTATATTCACATTGTTGTGTAATGTATCTCCAGAACTTTTACATCTTGCAAAACTGAAACTTTATATCCACTGAAGAACTCCCCTTTTCTCCTCCCTCCCAGCCCCTGTCAACCACCATTCTGCTTCCTGTTTCTATAAACTTGACTACTTTAGATAACTCAAGTAAGTGGACTTGCACAGTATTTGTTCATTTGTGATTGGCTCATTTCACTTAGGATAATGTCCTCCAAGTTCATCAATGTTGTAACGTATGCCGGAATTGCCTTCTTTTTTAAGACTGAATAATATTCCACGGTACATGTAGAACACATTTTGTTTAATGTTGCCTTCATTTTAAGAGCATCAAAATTTGTTGTCAGAGGCAGCTAAACTACTGGTGCATCTTTTTGGTCTGTCAAGCTTTGTTTTGTTTTCAGTTACTGCTGCTAAGCAATGTACTGCCTCTATTCTCACCGTTCAGGTCTTGGCCCTGCAGAAGGCATGGCAGTTAGGACTTGCAGAGTTTTGTCTTATGTCTGTACAGCCTAGCACTTAGCCACAGATATATAGCCACAGATAAATATATATAGTCACAGATATATATATATCTTGTATTTTCCCTTCCGGGCTCTAGAATTAACTGTTTCTTCAAAGAGCTCCTAGTTCCTATGTTTGTCTTTTTTTTTTTTTTTTTTTAACTATCTTAAAACTACCACAGAGTCTTCTGGACACCGCTCTCTGTGCAGCTGTCTCTTGTAAGTTAACTTCCTCTGCAAATTCCAGCCATTGAAATAGCTCAAAATTCCAATCTCTGTCTCCTGGTTTTAGTGAGACTGCTGTTCTGTTTAGGATTCCTGCTCTGTGCCAGAAAATGGCCCTAGGTCGAAAGCCAGGATGTTCATAGCGCTCATTTTTGGATGTTTCTGTTCTCTCAAGGATCACAGTACTTCCTATGTGTTTCTGAAAATAGTTACTTGATGTAATTAGTCATGGATGATATTTTGGTTGGAGAGCAAATCTAATATATTACTCTGTTACAGCTGGAAGAAGAAATATGTTATTTTTTGTTAATATGCACTCCCTGTTTTTCTTCTCCTTCCCCTGTTCTTTATGTGGTCTGTATTAGTGACCTATATTTTTATTTTTTTAATTTTTTTGAGTTGGAGTCTCACTCTGTCACCCAGGCTGGAGTGCAGTGGCCGTTCCTGGCCACTACAGCCTCAGTCTGCTGGGCTCTGGTGATCCTTCTGCCTCAGCTTTCCAAGTAGCTGGAATTACAGGGGCACACTACCATGCCCGGCTAATTTTTGATTTTTATTGTTGGGAGCCAGCCTTGGAGGCCCACCTGATTGACAAAGTCCAGGTGTGCTGAGGACCCCCGGCCGCAAAGCGAGCCTGGGGCAGCTGAGGCCCTTCTGTCTTCCGTCTTTGCTGTTGGTACGGCCAAAGAATTCTGTGCAGTCTTGGAAGAAGAAAATGGCATGTTTTTATGAAGTACTCACAGCTCACCTGGAAATGTCATGGTCCATTTTTTCATTTCCCACTATGCCGTTTGGCCTTTTCTAACATATGCAAGGGTTAAACTCTGAAGCACATCAAGAATGCTTTCTTTCACTTGGTTATAAGTTACTAGATATTGTTTGAGTAAAAAATAATATGTGTATTCACTCCATATTTGATTTAGAATTATGTAGGTTAGTGTTTAGACATAGGGTTTTTTAGAAGCACAAGTTTAACTGGGCTTGGTGGCTCAGCCTGTAATCCCGTGCCTTTGGGAGGCTGAGGTGAGTGGATTACCCGTGGGTTTGAGACCCGCCTGGGCAGTGAGACCTCATCTCTACAATAAATCCAAAAATCAGCTGGGCATGGTAGTGCATGCCTGTAATTCCGGCTACTTGGAAGGCTGAGGCGGAAGGATCGCTGGAGCCCAGCAGGTCGAGGCTGCGGTGGCCGGGAGCGGCCACTGAACTCCAGTCCAGGCGACAGAGTGAGACTCCAACTAAAAAAAAAAAAAAAAAAGAAGCACAAGTTTATAGTAAGTTCATTATGAATTCATTATAAGTTCTAACACTTATCTAGGAGTTATGTAGGCTGATTTATAACACTGTTTTCACAGACTTAGGATGAAGATTAATTGTTAAGGTTTTTACTTAATTCTATAGTTAAAATTCTAAGTTAATGTTTATAGAGTGGGCTTTCACTGAATTCATAATATACTAATTGGATACTTTTATGATAAATTAACTAAAGACAGAAAGCAACCTTGGCAGCCTGGGAAACATCACTAAAAGCTTCTTTTGGGTTTTCTTTAGAAATAAACACTGCAGGATAAGAGAAAAGTAACGAAGACACCTGGACAAGAAAGGCGATTGTGAAGCTTTGAAGGTCATAGGAGCACCAGAGAGAAAACTCCTGATACAGGAAGAAATGTGCACTTGGAAACTTTCTTGAGACATTTCAAGGACTGTAATTCGGGATTTTGGACTTAAACTATCATTTTTGGCTTTATGAAGAGACTCATTGACTGAGAGCAGATAGTGTTCTTGGCTTGTTTGTTGCTAAGACCACTAGATAGTGGTAACTTTTAAAGGATATGTACAGGAAGGAATTTTCTTTGCCTTGCCCCTTTACGAATGGTATAAAAGCTTTCTGTTGACTAACATTAAATGACATCTGTTCAGCAAGCAGGTGTTCAAGTATATTATTTTTGTCATTTGCTTATTCACCTCTCCTTCAGGAAACCCAAGACCCAGTGGGAGCAGTTCCCCTGCATTTTATTGTAGAGATGAGGTCTTGCCAAGTTGCCCAGGCGGGTCTCAAACCCGCGGGCTCAGGCAATCCACTCACCTCAGCCTCCCAAAGCACTGGGATTATAGGCTGAGCCACCGAGCTTGGCTGACCTGTATATTCTTAAAAGTTTCAGTGCCCTTTCTGTTTTCCTTACTTTAAATTTTCATCTACTAGAAATAAATCACTAAGACTTGAGTTATGTATTTGTTTAATTTATTCTTCTTTTTAGTTGTTTTTGCATATAAAAATAAGACAACAAGGAGAGAAAATTTAATGGAATTTCTGACACTGTAAAGATTAGAGCATAGCCAGGGTCGGTGGCTCAGCCTGTAATCCCGTGCGTTTAGGAGGCTGAGGTGAGTGGATTGCCTGAGCCCACGGGTTCGAGACCCTCCTGGGCAACTTGGCGAGAACTCATCTCTACACTAAATCAAAAAATTAGCCGGGTGTGGTAGCGCGCGCCTGTAGTTCCAGCTACTTGGAA